CGGAAAAAAAAAAAAAAAAAAAAAAAATCAGTAAATGCTTCAGGGTTTTCGCAACTCATAAGCAAAACATCCAGAGAGTTTGGGAAGCTGTGCTAGCTCTTAGAGACTGGCAAAAAGAATGAGAAAGGAATTGTGAAGTAGAAAAAAATATGCCTTGAAAATGTTGCTAATCCACAACTACCAAGTGAAAATAACCTGCTTCTACAGAAAAACCCAGAGCTCCACCCAAAGTGATGCACAATACCTGGACAAGATCCTTCCTTCCAACAAGCACGGCAGAAGTGGCATTCTTTTGACATGTTTCTTGAATATCATTCACGTTCAATCTGAAAAATTTTAAAAAGAGTAAAAGAGTTTCTCTCCTTTCAAACTCCTCCCGGTTTAACACACTAAAAACTACCTCTTTGGTTGTCACCCGAAGTATTTCACCCCTTGTTGCTCTCAAGCTCCTTTCCATCTGACCTGGGGGAAAGAATTAGCTAGAGATGAAGTTAATGGGGCTGTGGGGGAGCCAGCTTGGGGAAGGAGAAATTCCTAACCACTGTGAAGTCAGGAAAAGAGGCCATTCTCAAATATGGAATTGCTGACTAGCTTTCCTGTGCCACTGCCAAGGCTCAGGGGATTTAAATATGTGCAACAAGACTACAGCTTCTACACAGAATACTGTGCTAGGTATACACTATGAAAGAAATTTTTTCATTATGTGTTTAAATTCAGGAAGGAGAAGGGGAACCACAAGCCAACTCTGCAAACCAGTCACCCACCTCACACTTCCCTTCAACCAAAGCAGCTGTGTTCTGATCTGATTTACATATTAGGTGTGGGAGGCAGAATTCTAAGACGGTCCCCAAGATTCCTGCACCTTGCCGTATATATCTTGCACAATCCCCTCCCTCTGAATACAGGTGGGACCAGTGAATATTAATGGTATATCACACCCCTGATTAATAAGCAGGTGACTCTGAATTTGTTAAAAGGCAGACTATCCTGGGTGGGCCCAACCTAAGCAGGTGGGGCAGGTGAATGGTCTGTGAGCCACTCTTGCTGGTCTCAAGGAAGATGAAATTCACAGAAGCTTTCTACAGCTGCAAGAGTCCAAATTCTAACAAGTGAATGAGCTTGGAAGAGGACCTTGAGCATCAGAAGAGGCCACCAGTTAGCCAATGTCACGATTTCATTTGGGTGAGATCTGGGGCAGAGGCCCAGCGAAGCCACACCCCGAATCCTGATCCACAGAAACTAAAGAATAAATGTATGTTGTCCAAAGCTGACAAATTTGCCATTATTTGTTATGGGGCAACAGAAAACAAATACACTGAACTTCTCCTAAACTGCTTTTGAAGAAAAGCTTCCAACATTAAAAAAAAAAAAAGATTTGCCAATCCTAAGAAATAGCACAGCACAAATGAAATCTTGAACTTACATGTACAGTTCTCCCAGAGACTTGTGAACAGGAAGGAGGCACGAGACATCCTGGATGATGACCTTCCCAGCAGCCTTGATGGGTCGGTTGCCAGAGTCTGAACCCTCGCGCTTACTTTTCCATCTCCTTGATTTCTGGGGGAAATGTCAAGATGTAACTAATTGGGACTTTGTGGAGTGGAAGCCTACAGTTGCGGAGCTCATCACATTTTGCATCATTGGTAATTTGCAGACTTTAAATTACATCATGCCCACAATTACAAGAATCAGCATCTGTAGGAAATAGAAGGTTGGCAAAGGGCACTGAGCTTTTGATCCAAAATCCTAATGGGAAAATAGGCACCTACTGCAGGACTATCTATATTCTGCAGGTGCTCAGAAAATAATACCAGGAAGCCAGAATTAATGAATTAATTTTAAAACAGCAGGTAAATAAATTAGTAAAGATCCCAAAATGCAGAGGAAGAGTGAATTTTAAGGTTGAGTTCAGTACTAGGTTCAAAGTTCTTGACTGAAACAAACTATCAAAGTTTTTTTCTTCTCAGTTTCAAGAGGGTTTGCTGAAATTTTAAGTCAGACACAGCAGTGTGGGCTTTGCAAACCTTAATCTAGAGAGGAAGATAAAGAAATGCGGCAGCTTAAGGAGAATTATCCTGTTTTGTTTTTGTTTAGCAGGCCTGAATGATTTCTAGAGGTGATCATTTCAAAAGGTCAAAAATATGTGAGTCGGAGGATATGGGTAATGGACACAGGAAGTGCCCAACCCCCAGAGCCGTCCCTGTAAGTGGCTCTCTGTAAGGAATCTGGATGTGTGAAATGGGAAACATCCTGGAAAAACGATAATTATTAGAGTGTCACCCCACCTGGCATCTTCCAGATGACAACCAGAAAAGGGAGCAATACTGTATTCACTTTTATTTCATTTCCAGAAGTTAACAAAGAGGTCACCAAAGTGAGCCAACTATGGAAGGGAGTGACATATTTATTAACGAAGGAGACAAAAAGGAGCAAGTGAAAAGAGCCTGCAAGTGAGAGTCAGAAAACTAAGTGTAATTGGTCTTACTCTCAATATGACCCTGGACAAATTAATTTTTTATTGCAGTTTTCGTCTCATGCGTGTCACTCTTTCTTTGCTCATTGACAACTTGTGGATAATGAGCTCTGCTGTCCAATATCACAAGGTCAGTACAGGTACAATAAAAAGATATAGGTGCAAACTACACAAACTGAAAAGTATAACCTAAAAAATCCAATTATGATGAAAGCACATGAACTCTCAGGAATCTAAAAAAGCTCATTATTTAGATTACTCATAAAAAACTCATTTTCCACAAGTGATTCTTATATAATCACTCTTTTGTAAATTAGCCTTGGTCTAAATCCAGGCATTTCTGACCACTGGTGTCCCAACTAATCCCAAAGGAGCCCAATGCACATAACTTCTAGCAGGTTAGCATGTGTCTTGGGACTTAAAGCCAGGACACATTGACTTAGTACCAGGCAGGGTGAGTGAAGAAATCTACCTGAGGCATCTGTGAATCGTTCATCACGATATGGAGTACATACGCTGCATGATCAATTTGGAACCTTAACCCATTTGATCTGAAGTAAGTAGTTCTGTTACTATTTACTACTTATCTGTACAAGTGTTGTGTGTGTGGTTTTTTTGTTTGTTTGTTTTTGTTTGTTGCGGTACTGGGGATTGAACCCACGGCCTTCCAACTGAACTACCACCCCAGTCCTTCTATTTTTTATTTTGAGGCAGGGTCTCACTGGGCACTAATTTGCCCAAGCTGGACTCAAACTCTCAATCCTCCTGTCTCAGCCTCCTGAGCAAGTCATTATTCTTGAGTACAAGAAGTTTAATCTACTGTTTTGGGGTAGCTCTTCAATACGTTAGTGCTTTGGTTCTCTTCTGAAGAATTATGAGATACTATCAACAAAATTATTCTTTAGCCACAAACATCCTGATTTGGGTGCATATAAGGGAAGGACATGTTAAAGAGCAAACAGCCCTGTCAGAATGGGCTGGAGCCAGGCAGGCAGTGTTATCTGACATGAGACAGCTGTAGTCACACGTGCATGACCTGACTGATGTAGGAGGGTTACTCGGTGCACATCTGCCCTGCAGTGACAGTGAACAGCACAAGGTGTGTAGCTAGCTGGAAGCAACATGCTCACAGGAACCACACAATTGACCATCTCAAATGAGATTTAGGTTACTGAAGAAAATCTATGCTAAAAAGATTCCAACTAGAATGGAATATGATCAGTCTAAGTCTTCCAGGTTGGTTGGAAGGCTTCTAAACACGGTTCCAGGAAGTTGCCCTGGCTCCTTTATTGTAAAGAGAAAACAAGAAGCACCTGAACAATCGAACAACTCATGACAGCTGAAACAGATGGAGGCCTGGGGTTGGGGGGATGGCGTCTGCTAGCATTGAGAACACACTGAAAGAACCACAATTTCCTGGCTTTTAAAGCAAACCTAATAAAAGCACATTATTCATTATATGAAGCCTCATGGCAAAGTGGCTCATTTGTGAGTAGCCTGGTTCATGTGGAAACTGATGGTAAACATGTCCAAGTGTACGGATGTTTGACTTAAGACTTCAAGTCTTGCCTGTTGTTGTCACAGCCATGTTAGCACCTGCTAAAGGACAGCTCGGCCTGAGTGACACGCAGCTCACCAGGGCTCCCCAGCATAGAGGGATCGCACCTTTGTGTAGGAATGTGAGGCCTAGTCAAGGTCAGTTACACACCTGGGATTGGAACAGGCCCATCAGGCTGCTCAGCCCATTGTTAATTAGTTTTTCAGTATTGTGTATGATTTTAGGTTAACAAGGACAAGAATCAAGTCTCGACAAAGCTACCTGTTAATACATAATGGTCCATTTTTAAATGGATTCACTTCCATATGTAAGATTGACATTTGATTCAAGCGTTGCCTACCTCACACTATCCTACAACTACTGAGTTCTTCAGTCACTCTTCTGCTAAGCAACATGACTACAGATCCAGACCACGACTCTCTATTTCAGGCTGGGCTTGAGAGTCTGCCCCATACATGTGTTTTTAGTTTAGATAGATGAAAACTCAGTCTGAAGAGATGTCTTAGGACTCTTCCCCCATCTGCAGTCTTGGGTTACAAAGATCAGTAGAAACAAGCCAGTGTGCGCTGTCAATAAATACCTGACAAAAATGGAAAGATAGTGGTCTTTGACAAGTTTCTGTGATATCCTTCATTAAATTAGGAAAATCTGTATTTCCTGGGATTTATTGAGACACCAGCATTCTAGGATTTTCTGTTTGATCTGACTGGATGAACAGGAAATGCCTTCTGGAAACTTTCTCTGCTATCTCTGAGCCTACAATAGAAAGCGGTTTCCCAACATCACCCTGATTCTAGCTGCCACCAGGAGTCAAACTATAAAAGCCACATGGGACAGCACTAGTAGCTTGTTTTTTTTTTTTAAATCCAGCAAGGAATAACTAAAACATTATCAAAACTTCTTAAGTGATTAGAAAACACTGCTAATTTTTGCTGTGCTTTTTAAATTGGTGGTTGGCTTTAAAGATGAAATGTCTTCCCTTCAGGTTACAGGGGTCACTCAGTAATCCCAATGGCTAATTATTCTGGAGATTTGAATATAACAATGCTGCCTAAGTGAAGATATACTGAATCTCTATAATCAAATATTAGTTGGGGCCTTAGAGATTCTGGCTATTCTCTAACAAAAAGATGGACAAATTTTCAGGAGTTTTCCTCCAGGACTCTGGCAATAGAAAGCACTCCTGTTTCATCCACACTTCCCTTAAAAGTGATTTCACTTTTAACATCTTGCAGGGCAGTCTCTTTTGTCTATGCTGCTGTCAGGTAGTAACATATGGACTTCTCCCAGGACTATGGTTTTAGAGAACAATGCCATTCTAGGCTAAAGTAGGTTACTCCATCAGGGTTAAGGAAGTGCACCAGGGACTAAATGTTCCTCACCCTCTTGTGCTGCTCCAGTCCCACTCTGTCCAGCTTCGGTGTGTTTTGTGCTAAAATTGGTATTTCTGGAAGGCAAAGGACTCTTTTTCTTAGGTCTTTTCAAAGCTCCATCAACAGAAAATGTCCCTTCCCAGATTTCATGAGAAGGGACTGAGGAAAGAGAGACAAAGCAAGACAGACAAATTATGTGATAAGCTCCAGGATGCCCCACTTGAACATCCTAGGAAGGTGTTTGTGGCATATGGCAAAGAAGACAGGGAGGAAGGGGGAGGAGGGTACTGGTGCAAATAGCACTGAATGACAACCAACAGCCAGCTTGCCACTGTACCACCAGTGTTACTGTTACAATTGGAGGCAACATCAATGCCAGTAAATGGGTTAAATGTAAAGACAGCCCAAGAATAAGCCACCAACTGCTTCGCAGCAACCCCATCAACAATGAGTAATCAGCACAGTGGGCAGCGAGCCAAAATGGGTTCCTATTTAAGGAGCAGTGAAAACGGGGACTTCTGAAAAATCAGTGGAGCTTCAGCAGTTGGGTTGACTGGGCCCAGCTTTTTGAGGAAAGATGGCCATGTTAGTGGCCACCAGCAAGTTGTTGGTAGCAGTGGTACTTGCTCATCAGGCTCCTTACTTTATCTGGTTTTTATATAAAAAATGTTATAGGACTGTTCTCTAAACATTCTTTTTTTTTTTTTTTTTCCTAAACATTCTTTATACCACATGAAATTGACCTGAAGCCTCAAGGCTAACTTGAGGTCACCTTGGCACTACTGAAACTTGAAGGGGATGGGAGGAAGACAGAAGAGGGGATTGGCCAATAGGGATGAGTATGAAGGAAAGGAAGAAGAGGGGATAGCTATAGCAGAGGTTTATTGTCAAATGCAAAATACTTATGGCAAGGAAAAAATTTGTTCTAGAAAATTCCTAAAGGATAAAACTATCTTATGTATCATGCCAGTGAAGCAGGTGGGCACTTCCCTCTCTGAGCTAGAGCAAAACTACAAAAACAGAGGCCAAGTGGCAGAAGCCTCTTATATCTTCCTCTGCTCCCCCCATGCCAAAGGTAGGCATTTGAAACTCCATGGTATTACACAAATGCTCCAAGTAAAATCAGGTAAGCTAAAGTCATTTCATTGGGGTTCCTGCCAAGAACCCAGTATTAAGTTTCACTTACAAAGAAATCCACCTGTGATCTTTCCCAACATTTACCCATTTGTAACCCCATGATGGAACAAGGAGGCAGTCCTTGGAGCTGGACTCCTCAGAGAGAAGAATTTACTGTTGCTGGTCCTGAAAGCCAGCTAACCTGTCATTTCAGGTTCCTCAAAGCCAGGCAGGTGGCATTTTATTCTTGGGCCTTTGGGTAGAGACAGGATTAGTTAAGGAGAGCATTTGCACAGCGCACAGTACCGGGAAGTCGTTAATTGCTTGTATGGACCAACGTCGCCGGGCAGAGCGAGGAGACATCTGTGTGTGAAAACGTTACACCCAGGAAGAGGGAAGAAAAACACCAAGAAAATTAAAAGGGAAAAATATAGAATAAAACGAAAGCTTCCCCACATCTGATGGATTAAAAGGTATATATACCACAGAACTGGGAGTGGAACAGCAAAAAATGTGAACCTCAGAAACACAGTGTTCCAACTCCCTGGCTCCCCACCCCTCCCAGCACACGCCAAACCCAGCTTCACTTCACTGCTCTTCAGTCACGTTTTGGGCACAAGGAGTCTGATGCCAACACAGTTCTGATAAAGGGACTGCAATCAAGGGCTGAGGTGTTTGAACAAGGACTAAGAGTATAATGCAAGCAAAGAAATAGGGGAAGACTCTGTGGGAACCCCACCCCCACTCAATGAGAAGAAAACACTGGCTGAGAGGACAGTCTCATTCCCGAAAACGAAAAAGCTCTTCTACAGGCTCAGTACCCAGTTTGGGGGTGGGAGTGGCTGGGTGGGGACTGATGAGAAAATTGCACGTCTGGACAATGGGACTTTGGGGCTACTTTCAGAGCTATGCTGGGGAGTGTGGAGCCTTAGAAAACAAAGAGCAGGAGGAGGAATACTCTTGAGGGGATTTTAAGAGCATGGAACTGGGAGCACATGAGCCTGACTCTGGAGACCAGAAGGTATTTTATTAACATAAAGACCTCCCTAGGTTTTACACCAAAAGTATTTTAGTAACACACACTAAAGCACAGATGAAAGGCTGTGATTTTTTTTTTAAGTGTTTATAGGGTAATATCTAATGTTCATCACAAGTTCTGGGCCTTCTGATTTATCCTAGGAATAAACAAAATTTCATCAGCTATTAATAGTTGGTCTGCTTGCTAAATTCATTCATGTGAGCACTGCTTTGCTTTCTGACTTGCTATGAAATCAGACAGATTTTTAGGTCTCTCACAATTTTAAGTTTTTAGAGAAGAAACCTTGGAACACTGGGTGCATATAACAAATTGACCTATGTAGGGCAGGCTAAAAACACAAGAAAAACAAACAACAGTGTGCAAATGGCTCTTCAAAGAGCCTTTACAATCTCAAAAACATCTTGGAATTCCTTCACTACTAGATCTTCTGGCAGGCATATTCTCTACTCCTTCATTCTCTCTGTTAAAGATCTCAGGAAAAGAGTAGAGATCTAAAAGGGAATAAAAGTATGTTGGAGAAAAATTGGAGCACAAAATTTTTTAGTAAGCTGAAATGTTCCCTGAATAAAAGTAATAAAAAGTACTATCAGTTGACAGGTGAAGCTAGACTCTTGCGGACTAAAAAATGCTCCTTGAGGAAGAGCAAGCTCTTTAAGGGAGAAGCGGCAGTCCACGTAGATATGATGGCAGAATTTCGTGACTTTACTGCCTCCTCCACCCTAGTTAAAAACGATGGGCATGAACAAGCTTCAGGGAGAGATAAGGTTACTTCAGACTTATCACAAAATACCTGACTTAATCATTTTTGTTTTCTTAAATTAATAGGATGAACAGCATGAAAATTATTTTAGATAAAAAATGATCAAGTATTAGCAATTTCATATGATTTAACCTAATAATTATTATATGTCAAACACTAAAATTTGTCTACCTTCTCTAGAGAGTCTCAGGGTCCTGCAATGACCTTTGTGATATTGAATATACTCAACTCCATCCCCACTGTGATTTAGGAAATTTTCTGTATGCATATTGTACATCAATACCTAAGTTTCATGTGAGATTATAATAAAAGTGCCCACCCATTTCATTTTGGTCACTGTTTAAAACTTAAAGACCAGATGCTGTGTCAGACCAGGGTACTAGAATGGCCCATCTTCTGTGGAGTAGTGGTGTATTGGGAACTATCCCAAACAGTTTCACAATCTTCCTCCACTCCCCAGCAGATCCTATCAGCCCCCTGCTCCGGTCCCTTGTTAGGACTATGGTGTTTGCAGCCAGACCATCAGGGACATGAACACAGGTTTTACCAATGTTTTTACACTAGAGGAGGTCCTGTCTTGGAAATGGAGTTACTTTGACTACAAATGGGCTTTACACACAACCCCAAAGTCAAAAGTACTGCTCAATTATATCCCAAGCACAGGCAGGTAGCACCTGACATGAATAGAAGGGAAATTCAGATTTGCCTGTGACTAAAAGATCTCCTCAGCACAGCCCTGACTTAAAGTTTCTCACATTTATTCAACCATGAGTATGTCTGGGTTTTATGGCAATTAAATGCCTTAGTTCCAAACAACTTATCAAATCATCTACTCAGTTACCTGCTAGCCTGCAGAAAAAGAAAAAAAAAAAAAGTTAAAAAAATTTGAAAGTAAAGGACTTAAGGTGTTAGATAGGTATTCTAATGAGGTCTGTGACAGTCAGGGAGACAGAACTTCATCAGACATGTGAGGAAGGGGACTACGGAAAGTTGGCCGAGAAGGTAACAACCATTTTCTATGCTTGACTGAAAACTTTGCAACGCAACTGGTCCAGTTTGAAGCATAAGTTACTGCCACTCAGTCACATAAAGCTCTAAGACTACACAAAGTCAGGGCTGGTCACCTACCACAAGCCAAGGTTGGGTGCTACACTGCAACCCAAGTGAAGACAGTTCCAATACCTGACAGAAACTTGGTTTTAAATTTTAAACTAACTCAATTTTTAAGAACAAAATAAATTATTATTTCTCATTTAGCAGGGAGTGACACCCAAGAATTCCTAAGGACTGAGTTTATGCAGCAGCTCAGTAAACTGTTTACATGCTATGCCAGCTAAAACCTGTTCAAGCCAGATTCTCAGTCTGACAACACAGAAAGAGTTCCTGTGACCATTCCTATGTTCTGCCAGGACTCTCTACACTGCTGCTACCAAAGGTTTCTGCTGGCTCCGTGGTAACTACTTTAGGGACGATGAGTTCTCTAATAACTCTGGAACATAAGGACAAGTCAGGTGATTTCTGTATAAACGGATCTGTTCTAAAGGGTACTCATGCACATTCTTAACAGAAGTACAAAACCTTTCAGATATCAATTTTAAAGATCTCATAACTATGAAGTTCCAAATGTATCAAAACTCCTAGCTTTCAGAACATCCTTTAATTTGTTGACAAATACCAGAACGGCAAGGAAGACCTGATGCTATTTATTACACCTGAAATAACAGGGAGCAACTGGGTGGATGGAGGTTACATGACGGGGTCACACAGAGTGTGAAGGACTGCAGAGCTCACCCCTCCTCCCCATCCCACAAGCCACACTGGTTAAAACCAAGGAAAGGAACAGAGCGTTGGCCTTTCATAAAAGAACTAATTATGAAAGTGAAAGACTATACAGGGATTACTAAACTGCTGTGCATGGTAGGCAGGGGTATAAACAGCAAGGGCAGGGAGGGAGAAGAGTGAGAATCAAAGGCAATGGCTCAGGCACTTACCCGCTCCTTGTAGTAGAAGGAGCTGATGGAGACCTGCTCTTTCTCGCTGCGAGTGGGGCTCCCACTATACAATCGAAGATTGCCGGGGGCCTCTGTGCGAATCTTCATGGGTGCAATCAAGCCAGTGTGATAGGCAGATAGGGCCGAGAGAGATCTGTCATTAAAAATAAGAGTTATCTACCCTGGCTACAGTCTTTTCATATTTCTAAGAACTGCCATTCTTAGCATTTGATGAAACCAAGAGGAAAAGACATGGAAAGAAAAACAAAATTAAAAAAAAAAAAAAGTTTGAACTGAAAAATGTTTTATCTGCAGACAGAATGCTTCCATGATTGGATACACAGAATTCAAAGGAATCTACAAACTGCTAGAATAAATTAGTAAATTTAGTCCTCCCTTGGGCAGCACATATACTAAAATAGCAATCAGTAAATTTAGATACAAGGTCAATCTATACAAATCTGTATGTCTATATATTAGAAACAAATACTGCTAAAATATTTATATTGTTTCATTTACAATAGCATCAAAACATCAAATACTTGGAAACAAATTTAATAAAACATGTCAAAGCCCTAACAACACATTTAATTAAAAATGTACAGAGCCGGGTGTGGTAGTGGACGCCTATAATCCCAGTACTTGGGAGGCTGAGGCAGAAGGATCGCTGCCAGTTCGAGACTAGGCTGGGCTGCACAGTGAGTTCCAGAGCAGCCTAAATTAGGTAGTGAGACCCTGTCTCAAAAAAACAAACAAAAAAGCACATTGAAAATACAAAATATTACTAAGAGAAATTAAAGATATAAAAAACTGGAGAGATGTATGATGTTAGTGGGCTAGAGGATTCCATGTTGTTAAGGTGTCAGTTTCCTCTGAACCAATCTAGAACTGCATTGAACCAATACAATAACAGAAACTGGGTTTTGTTTTGTTCTTTTTTGGTACCAGCAATCGAACTTGGGTTCTTGTGCTTGCAAGGCAGGCACCGGAACCACTGAGCTAAATTCCTGGCCCTTGTTTTGCTTTTTAAATAGAAACTAAGTTGATTTTATTTTATGGAGATACAAAAAGATCTAGAATAGCCAACATAAAACTAAACGAGAATAATAAAATTAGAAGCCTTCAACTATCAGATTTGAAAACTTGCTATACAGGCAATATTATTATGAATTCAATAAATAAACATAATCTTTTCATAACTGGAACTAGAACAACTGTTCATCTCTACTGAGTAAAACAAACTTTGACCCTTAGCTTACACCGTACACAAGATGGCTCAGAAACCACAAAGGACCTTAAATCAGAAACCACAAAACTTTCAGAAGAAAATACAAAAGGAAATTTCTGTGATTTTGGTGTAGATAAAGGTTTTTTGAATTCAACACAAAAATCACTACCCGTAAGATTAAAAAGTGGTAAACTGGACATCATCAAAACTGAAAATTGGTGCTCGCTTTGGCAGCACATATATTAAAACTAAAAATTGCTGTTCATCAAAAATCATGAAGGAGAAAAAAGCCACAGATTAGGAGAAAATCAATACACACATCTAAAAAGATATGCAATGAAATTAAATATCACAAACAAATAAGAACTCCAGTACCTCAAAAAAGTGCATAATACTTAAACAGGAGCATCACAAACAAACATAACCAAATGGTCAACGAGCACACAAAAGCTGCTTTGCCCCATTAGTCTTGATCGCAGAAATGCTAGGTAAAACCACAATGAACACAAGAACCATGATGAGATAATATTTCACACCCACCACAAGGATAGAGCTTGAAAAGACTGGTTTGAGACACACTGTGGGGCAATCAGTGCTCTGAAACACCATGGATGCAATGGCACAACCACTGTGCAAATTTTTGACAATTTCTAACAAAATCAAACATGTCTATAGCCCATGACCCACAGTTTCACTCCTTGAGTAAAGAAATTAACACGCATGTCTATAAAGAGGCTTGTACTCATAATAACCCAAACTGGAAATAGCCCAAATATCCACTGATAGGAGAATGAACACCCTGCGCTGTACGATGTAATTACTGATCCACGCAGCCATGTGGATCAAGTTCAGCAACATTAAATTGAGTACAGTAAGCCAGATACAAAACAGTTCATGCTGCAGGATTCTATTTCAATAAAGTTCAAAATCAAGCAAAACAAAGCCAGGTGCAATGACACACACCTGGAATCCCAGCACTGAGAGAGGCTGAGGGAGGAGGGTCATGAATTCAAGTCCGACCTGGGCAACATAACAAGACCCTGTCTCAACAAGGGAAGGGAAGATGTCGGGATGTAGCTTAGTAGTATAGCTCCCTGGGATTAAACCTCCAGAACCATCAAAAGAAGGGGCAAAAATAACTACAGTGATAAAAGTCAGGACAGTGGTTTTTCCTCTGGGTGATGAGGGGCTAAGAAAAAGGATCAGGGACTTCTGGGAGTAAGGATAATGCTCTCTATTTTGATCTGAGTGTAGTCATCAAGCAGTCTGTTTCAGACCTGTACAATGTTCACTGTATCCCATTAAAGTACTGCTGACTAGAAAATATTCCTAGCAGAACTATGATCAAAATCCAGATTCAGACACTGGTTTCCCTTTGAAAGCAGGGGACTGTTTTCCAACAGAATCTGGTACAGTGCAAGTTCCTTGGTTACTGAATGCCAGATCCCAGATCTTGTGGGTCAAGGTCCCCTCTGCCTGGATCAGTGTGGAGCCTGGTGCCCTCCCAGCAGGGCAGCAGCGTGGGCTCACACTGCCGCAGGGGTTCTTCTTAGCCTGGTGACTCATTTCTAACTGTTGTGGCCAATGATGCTGCATCCTGTATACTGCATGTTTATAGCATGTTTATTCTACGTTCTCCTGGTGGCCCTACCACAGAACAAGTACTATACACATTACTTCATCCTTAAAGTTTAAAAACCAGGGGTCACAGAAACAGTGTGCACACTCCCCATGTGCCAGGCAGGACTTCCGGTGCCTTTCCAAAGACTTGCTTGTTCAGCATTTCCAGCAAGTAAAGGCAGTGGGTGCTGTTAGCACCGCCATGTCACTGCTGAAGAAACTCAGGCTGTTTAGATAATGTCACAGAAACACAGGGTCAACACGTAGGCCTGGAGAGTTTGGTCCTAAGTCTATAGCCCTATCCGCTACACTAGATTTCCTAGCAGGACGAAAAAAAAAGCACACAAAAAATATTGAAGATGACATAAACATGTTCTGTTTTTAACAGTAGCTCCTGGCACATGGGAAAGGAAAGGATGTTCTTTCGCATTTTAACCTAAAACTTCACATTGAGTTTTTCTAATATATTTATTTAATTTTTGCTCATTATACATATTTTGGTAATATTAGAAGAGGTATATCAGTGTTATAAACTGATGTCTTCAGTTTAATATTAAACAATTAAAACAAGCAATCCTTTAGCAATAGGAGAAAAGCATATTAAAAAAGAATTTGCCACCCAGGTACAGTATATTGGCACAGGCCTGTGATCCCAGCCACTCAGAAGGCTGAAGCAGCAGAGTCACAAGTTCAAGGACAGTCGGGGCAACTTAGCAAGACCCTGTCTTAAGATGAAAATTTTAAAAGGGCTGAATATATAGCTCAGCACTCCTTTGGTCCAATCCCCAGTACTGCAAAGGAAAAAAAAAATTATGTGGTTTGACAGTAACCTTACAGCAGAAGTCTCAGCTTTTCTTCAATTTAATGAACCTTGATCTTTCTCTGTTTTTTGGTACAACGAATTAAACTCAGAACCTTGCACTTGTGAGGCAGATGTGGCGCCACTGAGCTAAATTCCTGGCCCTTGATCTTTCTTGAATGAATACTACTGGGAGTTTACTTAAGAACTAAAACAAACTGTCCAAAGATAGACTCAATGCTCCTTCCCAGATTTCTGCTTCTTTCTGGCTCTGTGGCTGCAGAGTCCTCTGTATCTTCAGACTCACCTGGGAGTGGGTTCTGTTGGAGACACTGCTCGGTGCATTGTCATGGGCCTTGTGAAGTACACCAGGTAGCCTGCAAAGGAGACCGCAGATAGGCACATCAAGGTCAGTGAGCTGCTGGATGAGGAAACCCTAAAGCAGGATTGGGCAAGCATTTTTTCTATTTCAATATCCCTGAGAGATAACACATAGTTTAGTTTCATGAAATTGCAAAGGTTCGTGACTGAACAAGGTCAGAATTGCCAGGGTCCAGGAGAGATGGGATCAAATCTTCACAGGTACTTTACGAATCTCAGCTAGGAGACTTATCCTCTTAAGCTAAGAATCAGGGATCTGAGCAGACTCAAATCCAAGGTCATCAGAATGAAAAAATGAAGGTCTGACTTCTGGTGAACACTCTTAGGCCATGCCCCCACCACCAATTTGACATCACACCCTACGGCACTAAAAAGTCTTTTTGAGTTCTCAGGAAATGAATACAAAATCTTTTCTGATGATGTTTATACAGAACACATGACACTCTTGGTCGTACTCTCTTAAGATCTAGAATCAGAACCACAAGAGACCAACCTGCTCCACAGAACCTGGCCCCAGAAGTCCTAGGAAAGGGGATATTGGCATCCTGGTAAGACCCATAGGCAGTGGTGACCCGCGCAAATGTTGGTAAGGGTGGTGTGACAGAGTTTGGGAGTGCGAATGGGTTGCTGGAAGCGCTGTCTTCTTGGTTCTGAAATTTAAAATGCAAACTTAAAGACCACAACCTGTCTTAAAGCTGAATTACAAAAGAGGGGTACAATGTTAAAAATCAGGGAGCACAAGATTGCAGGGAGGAGAAATGAAACAAGACAGAACGCATCAGGTGGTATAATTTCACGATGCCCACCACAAAAGACTCAAGGCAGGAGACGAGCTGGCGCAGGCAGGGCTCCAAACAGCTCTGGTTGCGTTTCACTTTTTGCAGCGAGGTATCCTTCAGGATCTAGAAAAAGACCCAAAACACAGTCAAGAATGGCACCATACTAGCCAGGCATGGTGGCACACGCCTGTAATCCCAGCGCTTGGGAGGCTGAGGCAGGAGGATTGCCATGACTTTGAGGAAGAACAGTCTAGGCTAGTTCAAGGACATCCTGGGCTACAAAGCAAGACCCTGTGTCCAAAAAAAAAAAAATTAGAAAAAAGCAGAGCACCATATTCCCTGGCTGCTTTACTCTGCCAAGTAGTCAGAAGCATGGTGTGCAGGAGGACTGGAGCATGACCAGGTCTGAGGCTTCTGGAACAACACACTCCTATCTCCTGTGGGGTGGAGAGTCAGAGAGAAGGATGTCTTCCTGAGCCTCCTCGAGAAGAAGCCCTGTGCAGCCAAGGAGCCACACATGCTGATTTTGGCAGGGAAGGTTCTAGTAACAGAACTATCCTCTCTCCAGTGAATTCTGCCCCTTGGTCTCTCCCACTTGTTCACAAGAAATGGCAGCGCCCTGGAGGCAACACCTGCTCACCAGGACTGAAAGCTGTTGTGGAGATGCAAGCCAGGAGGAACAGATTTTTCCTTGGTAAAAATCACAATTTTTTTCTTGGTCCTTTAAAGTGATAAATCCTACTGTGCAGCAGGAAAAAAACAAAAAAATCTTAACATTTTAAGGTGCATGCTATTGACAGGAAGCTCTGTCCACACTGAGGTGGGCATATGAATTGGACCACGTGCAATGGGCCTCATCCAAACCAAAAGATGCTGTAAAAAATCACAGACTTGGGGAAGAACTAACAAACTGTAAACTATCTCAATAATTTTATTCTGATGTTATGTTACATGAGAATAATATTTTAGATATACTGGATAAAGTTAAAATATATTAAAATTAATTTACCTGCTTTTTAGAACTTTTAAAAATGTGGTTACTGAAAATCAGAAATTATATGTGGCCTGCATTATATTTCTATTGGACAGAACCAAACTATACCTTTAAAGACTTCCCATAAGCTTATCTTTTTACACCAATGCAAAATCCAAAACAACAACAAGAAAAAACCCCATCTTTTTCGTATGCTTAAACTAAGCAATGAAATAGTCTAAGTTTAAAATGCCAAATACTATACCACAAAATCTCAGTAATTAGCATTTCAGGGATTCTTAAGCCACTTGGAAAATTTCTGGTTACATATCATACCACAATGCACAACACTCATGTATGTATGATTCAAAATGGGCAAAGATAAGCAACTCTCAGCTTGGGTTTGTCTGGGAATTTTAGTTCCTTCACTCATGTAACTGCTCAAACCAAAAAAAAAATTGTATTACCAACTGGCTCATGATTTTTTACTTTATTTTTCTGAGACAGGGCCTCACTACAATGTAGCCCTGGCTGGACTTGAACTCTTGATCCGCCTGTCTTACCCTAGGTGCTGGGATTAGAGGTGTGCGCCAGCACACCTTGCTCCATGGGCTTTTTAAATAAAGCTCTCCCCTCCTCACATCAAGCTTCTGAACCTGCAGGGTTGAAGACCGGCCAACAGGCTGTGAGGGCCACACACAGACACTGCCATCCCTCACACACATGGCCTGTGGCTAGCTAGCCTCTCACCAGGATAATGCCGGTTCCTTCTATAAGATTGATTCTTTCTAATGACTATTACATTTTTTTTCTGATTATTAAATATCTTTTAGCTTCAGAATACATCTTGCCTATTTTCTCTAGATAAATAAAATTATATTGTAGGGTTCCTAACCTGGATTGATGTATAGCTTTAATGCAATCTGTGAGCATATCATATGTGATCTAAGTATTTATATGCAATACTTCTGAAGTTATATACAGCATTTGTGCAAATCTTTCTGAAGAAGGGTCCATGGTTTTCATTTGATTTCCAAAAGGCATCTATGATCCAACAAAATGGTTAAGGACCACTGTATGAATGGTATCTACAGGAAGTAAAAGGCCAGTGTAGGAAACGTATGACTCTTACATCTCATCTATCTGAATTTTCACTCAATTTTCCTCCTCAACCGAGACACTGCTGCACATGAGCAGAGATCATCTTACAAAAGCAAGGAGAAACTGGGGCCCACCTTTAACAGCTTAGCTTTCATGGTGGACGTAATGGTGGTGGGGTTAATAAACTGGAAGGAAGGGGCAGCGTTGTTGGGGTACTGCGCCGGGAACTTCACCAACATCTTGACGCGATGGTTGCTACAATGTACAGACACTGTGCAGCTCCTATCTGCTGCATCCATCTGCAAGACACAAGCCCACAACTACTTTGGAGATAGACTGCAAAGAGCATTCAGATGCAAATGGATTTGCAAACCCAGCACCCTACACACGTTAGGCAAACACTCTACCACTGAGCTCTACCTTCCCCGCAAGATGCAAACAGTTTTAAGAAAGCTACAAGAATGCTCCCTGTTCCTGGAACCTCAATAAAGGGAGGAGAGTTTACAAAGACAAGTGAGTCTGGGAGATACTTCATTTTCAAAACAGATTTTTAAATTTTAGTACTTATTTAATAAATTCAAAGTATTTTGATTAAAAAAAAAGCTTTATCCCAAAGCTGTGAAGTTGGCTAAAATTTGTCAATCTGACTTTGAGATGAGAAAATAAGCAAGAAGAAACTAAAAGAAATAATTTGATTAGGGCCGGGGATTTAGCTCAGTGGTTCTGCAGCCTGCCTCGCAAGCTCAAGGTTCCAAGTTCAATCACTGGTACCAAAAAAAAAAAAAAGAAAATAATAATAATAATAACCTGATTCAACTTAAAAAGTACTCATGGGAAAATCCATAGACAGAGAGTAGATCTGTGGCTGCCAGGAGCTGAGCAGAGGGCAAGTAGAGAGTAACTGCTAATGAGTAGGGGGATGTTTTTTAGGATGATGGAATATTCTGGATTAGATGGTAGTGATGGTTGCACAACTTTATGACTACACTAAGAACCAGTAATTGCATAGTTTAAAAGGGTGAATTCTGTGGTGTGTGAATTAGACCTTAATTTTTTTTTTTGGCACCGGAGATCGAACTCAGGTCCTCACACTTGCAAGGCAGGCGGCAGAACCACTGAGCCAAATCCCCGGCCCTAGACCTTAATAGTTTTTAAGAGGGACTCCTGAGGAAAGAAATGAAGAAGATCTTCTTAAACCATATTACTGGGTAGCCACATGGTTTTCAACTAGGCCAAAGGGAGTATCAACTGAGTTAATATAGATAACTATTTGTTGATTTCTGGTGCTGTCAATTAGAGAGGGCAGCTGGAGGACAGTGAAAAGAGCAAATATGGCAGAAAGCCAGAGATTTGGATTCAAACATTATCCTCTTCCACCAAATAGCTGCCGACTTTGGACCAGCCATTTCACCTCTGGTATCTCAGTCTGCTCACCCATAAAATGAAGTAAAACACTTGCTAGAGGATTTCTTTTTTTGGTTTTGTTTTTTTGAGACAGGGTCTCACTACGTAGTTGAGACTGACCTGGAACTCACTATGTATCCCAGGCTGGTCTCGAACTCACAGCGATCCTCCTGCCTCAGCCTCCCGAGTGCTGGGATTACAGGCGTGTGCCAATTTTTTGTTTGTTTTTAATTCAAACTGGGCTTGAACTCACTATGTAGCCCAAGGTGGCCTAGAACTGGCAAGCACATTTCTGCCTCAGCCTCCCAAGTGCTGGGATCACAGGCATGTTACACCATGCCCAGCTTTATTTTGTTTTTTATTTTTTGAGACAGGGTCTACATGTAGTTCAGGCTGGCTTTGGTCTCACTAGACAACCCAAGCTGGCCTCAAGCTTGCCTCTATCCTCCTGCCTCAGCTTCCCAAGTGCTAGCATTACAGCTGTGCACCACCACTCCTAGCTTAGAGAATTGTGAGATAGTCATGTAATGGCATATATCGCTGCCTACAGTTAAATGAATCTGGGCAAAAGAAAAACTAACCAAGCATTAAAACTCCTTCCTGGAGAGACGTGCAATTCTCTGAATCAAACAGTTTCAATACTTGCCCAAAAGTGAAAGATTAAATGGCTCCATGTGTTAAGTGAATAGAAGTTTTGTCCACCTTCTTACTGTGGACAAAATCAGTAAGGAAATAACCAGCTTGTAAAGGACAACAGTAAGCATAGTGCAGAGAGCCTGGGGGTCAGGAGGGATTCCAAAGTCAGCTCTGCTTTAACTCCCCCACTCTCTGCCAGTAAGAGTACTTCCCGGTACAAGTGGCGTCATAGGTAGCAAAACGAGGTATTGGAGCACTTAAGGAGGAGTGCATGCTGTAGTTCATCCCAGGAGAAGAGAATAAGGCAGGAAAAAAGTCTGGGGCTCAGGTTGCACCTCAGGGCTAGCTGCTTGCCTAGCATACATGAAGCCCTCCCTCAGTTCTAATCCCAGCACTGCCAGGGTGGGAGGTCTGCATCTGGGAAACATCCATTTCTTAAAAAAAAAAAATCTAGGAATTAAGACAGCAATCAGAGAGACTCACCTGTTAGAGCTGCAAAGCTATTTGCTAGCTGAAATAGCCCCTTTTCCCACAAACCACCATGAGCAAGCATGAGACAGGCTCTTTAAGCTATGAGTTACCTCTACATTGACATTCCGGATCTGCACATTGATAAGGGAGAACTCCTGCTGCAGAGTCTGCGGCAGGCCCAGCTGATCTGACTTCCTCTCCTCCAGGAGACTGCTAGGGGGATCTTCCTTTAAGGCTAAGAGGAGAGACACTCCATGTTGGAAAACATTCTGGAAAGTGAGTCCATTCTGGGTATTTGCTAAATAGCTATGAAATGTGTAGTGAGCCCTCTCCTCAGACCAGTCTGACAGGGTACCTTCTTCCTCCCCGTGGCTTGAGTTGTGCTGGTGATCAGTGTCTTGGGTGTGCAGGGTCTTCTCTGGTTCCGGCAGAAGAGAAATGCTCTCAATGAACTCATCACTATCCAATATGTCATTGGCACAGAGCTGCAACAAAAGGTAGAAGACAGAGGACTATAGAAGTCAGTGGAAATGATCAGTGTGTCTGGTTCCAGTTGTGACTTAAAAACGAGTATCACAAAGGACAGAGATACATCAGCCAACAACTGATGCAATCAAAATAGATTTTACCCATCACCAACTCTCCCTAGTTAAATACACAGGGTAACAGACTCTATTACTCTACTCTGGACATTTTTCTTCACATTCTAAGTTTATGTAGGGCTCAGAAAAAATTAATTGAAATCACAAACCTTCGTGGCATCACTTAGCCAACTCAGGAGCAAAAATATCATAACCTCAAAGCATATGGAGCAAATACTACTTTCTGGAGAAAACAGACTGAAAAGGCAATAGAATCACGAGACTTGACCAATATGCTCAAGAGGGACTGGATGCTAAGCAGTGTGGCAAATCATATCTAGTATTTCCCACCGGTTCTGTGCAAGGCAGTGTGCCAGGTACTTTGGGGGATGCAATACCAGTGAGACATGTTTCTCACCATCAGGGAGTTAGCGTTAGTTGTGGAGAAGACAGCCCATGATGGGGTAGAATAGAGCAGGGATCACAAAGTCAGTTCATAGCAGCTGTCATGTATCGTGTATGGAGGAAAAACTGAGAGCAGCTTCACAGAAGTGTTGTCGATGGATGAAAAGGCTCTGAACAGCTTCAGAATACAAGAGGAGAAAAAGGGCATTCAGAAGCTCTCTGGGCTTAACATGCTGAATACTTTGGCTCTTAAAGACCCCAAAGTCAGCATGGCATACCCCAGCCATTCAGCCAACCAGCCAGAATATATTAAGTGTCTACCATGTATTCTCTAACTTCCACAAATACGGATTTTTTTTTTTTTTTTTTTTTTTTTTTTTTTTTTTGGTACTGGGGATCAAACTCAGGTCCTTGTGCTTGTGAGGCAGGTGGTGGAAGCACTGAGCTAAATCCCCCGCTGTCCACAAATTCTGAATCTTGCATTTTAAAGTTATCAAGTTATAGTGTCCAACAGCACTGAATACCTACCCTCTGCATCTGGAAATCTACCCGCCACATTCTCAAGGTCTGATCACGGGACCACGTAACCAGTTGGTAGTCCTTGGACCCTAGAAATCACCAAACAAGCATTCTAAAAATTCTTCTGGATTCAACACTTATTTTGTTACAAGTCCCAATAGAGTGACATTCATTCATTCACTGATTCATTCAAACATACATACACTCAACACTTTATTTGTTGTTGTTGTGGTACCAAGGACTGAACTCTGGACGTTGCCCTTGTGGGGCAGGTGCAGTGTCACTGTGCTAAATCCCTGGCCTCCAACACATTTTTTTTTCCAGCAGGGTCTTACTATGTAATTTGGCCTTGAACTTGTTTCAGCCTCCCATATACTAGGATACTGGTGTGGGCCGCCATGGCCAGCCCCAGCAAATATTTATTAAACAGCCAGGTATTTTTCTAGTTACCAGGGCAATGGCACAAATAATCTCTATCTTTATAGAGCTCACAATCCAATGATGAAAAAAAGACAAGCAAATAAAAATACAATAAGGGCCAGGGATTTAGCTCAGTGATTCCACCCCTTGCCTCGCAAGCGCAAGGTCCCAAGTTTGATCCCTGGAACCAAAAAATAAGAATAAATAAATAAAAATACAATAAAGTGCCAAATAGTGTTAAGAGGCATAAAAAATAACACAGAATAAGAGGACAGAGACTGATGGGACAGCTGCTTTTAGACAGGACTCCCCAAGGAAGTCCCACTGGAGCAGAAACTTAAATGAAGTGAAATAGTAACTGGCAAATTAGCCGGTGGAGAGTGTTGCTGAGATTTGTGTCACACTGAACTTTCACCTCTAGCAAATGTTTTTCCTTTTATATGCTCCTGAGGAACTGGGGATGAATACATATTTTGTAAAAATGAATTATTTTAAATGCATTGTGGTATCCTACTGTTCAAAAGAATCTTTTGATAAAGTGATGCGTCTCTTTAAAAAAATGATTAATTGACATTTAATCTTCTTAATTAACTGAATCATATTTTTGCATACTAGGTCTGCTTAAAAGGAAATTATTCTGAAAGGTTCAGGGTGCTTTGTGAGAGATCTTATGAAAAAGCAGGATGCTTAGGGCAATTAACAGCATCTTGAATCTCCCTCAGTAGAAATAATCTCAGCCAATTACCTCATTTTATGGGTGGGGAGATTAAGGGGAGAGAACACGATCAAGGGCCTGTTCTCATATTATTTCCTTCTGTGCCACTATCCTTAACCAAAGTTTTTAAGACTATATCCCTAACAAAACAATAACTATTCTTTTTTCTTTTCAGTTAAAAATGTTTTATTAGTACACGTTTGCATGTACTGAGTCACATTCCTCCCGGAGAATCGGTACCATACATATATACATATAATAGATCTCAATTCTTCCTCATTCCTCTTCTCTGCCTTCCCTCCCTCTCCTTGCACCCCTTGGTCCCCACTAACGCGCTCTGCCATCTAGTCTCACGTTCACAGTCACCAACTGATCCTACATTTGGCCGTTTTACAAATCCTTGACTTGAGGAGAAGGCATGTGTAAGTGCTTCATAATCTCCGCTCTTCTACGCACTCCTTTTACCCTTCCCACTCTTCCCCACAGGGCCTTGCTTTCCCAGCTTCTTTCCTTGCATCTTCTCTCTACCTTCAAAGAGTGAGGGCTGCAGCCTCCACCAACTGTCTCAATCTCCTTGCCCTTGAAGACAAGAAAATTGGCCCTGCTGCCTCTGTTTAGGCTATTTTATAATCTAGCATCCAGCTTTCAGCCTTCATCCACTTTGGAACATCACCCCCGCTTCACAACCCATGGCTTCTCTTTTGTTCAATTAAATGCTTTTGTCTTATTCTTCATTTTCATACTTCAGCAACACCTGAAACCAATGACCACCACTTTCTTCATGAAGCATTCTTTTCCCTTGGCCACACATCCTGATTTTCTTCCTACCTCTTTGAAAGATCCTTCCTCTAAGTGATAATCAAAACCAAGTCATGAGGTGGCCTAATAAAAATTGACTAAAGATAAGCACTACAAATAAACTGGAGCATCATTAGGTTGGGAGGAAAGTAAACAATTAACAGTAAACAACAAAGTAAACAATTAAACTCAAAAAAGTTCAAAACCAGGCAAACCTAAGCTATGTTTAGAAATTAATAAAGTGATAAAACCGTAATTTTTTTTAAAAAAATAGAAGTTACTATGAAAAGCTTTACAATAGTGATGCTGCGCCAGGCCATGCCCATGCCTATAATCCTAGCACTTGGGAGGCTGAGGCAGGAGGATCGATTGAGTTTGAGACCAGCCTGGGCACACTATGAGTTCCACAACAGTCTGAACTACATAGTGAGACCCTGTCTCAAAAAACAAACAAAAAAACAAACAAACAAACAAAAAATAGTGATGCTGCAGGGGAAGGAAGAGGATTGTGGTCAGGAAGCTTCTGGAGTCCTGGAATGTTCTCTCTCTAGACCTTGGTGGGAGTTACAGATTTATATGTATACATGTGCATAGATATATTTTTTTTTCTTTTTCTTTTTTTTTGGTACTGGGGATTGAACTCAGGACCTTGTGTTTGCAAAGCACGTGGCAGAACCACTGAAGTAAATCTCATCCCTACCCTCCTATGATTAAAGGCAGTGCGCTCCCTCTTTGGTTCCTAGAGCCCAGCCCTGCTCTGTATGCTCCTTCCTGGCCCACATGGCCCATATGCCCGGTGCTGCCACTCATCACAGCTCAGAGGGAGCGATCTTCCCCACAAACCTTCCTTCTGTCGCCTCCACTGGAACTCCAGTACCACATCATCGTGTCCCACAAAGGTGTGGACCGGGGTGTTCAAGTCAAAGACATTCCATAGGAGCAAGCTGTTTTCCCTCCGAAGCTGGGGAACCATCACTGTCACTAATCCATTGCTGAAAGGCTATAGCAAGAAAGGGAAAAGCATGGATCATTCTGAGAGAATCAGCTGTTTTCAAAATGGGAATTCTTCCTAACTAAAACTGATTAGACGATAAAGCCAGGCATGGTGACACACACCTGTAATCCCAATACTTAGGAGGTGGAGGCAGGAAGCTCACCATGAATCCGAGGCCAGACTGGGCTACAAAGTGAATTCAAGGCCAGCCTGAACTACATAGAAAGACCTCTCAAAAAAAAAAAAAAAAAAAAAAAAAAAAAAAAA